AATGGTCAGAACTGGGACACCTTTATGCATATATTACTTGGCCAGCCCTATCCATTTCTGCCACCAGGACATTATTTTGGTGCACTTAATTTTTTCAAAGCTTTAGGTGAATTTGAAATAATTAATGTGCTGGAACCACATCCAATCCCCGGAGTTATATATGCGATTGTGGGTCGAGTACCAGGGGATGGATTCCAATATGACAGAAACGGAGCGGTTTATAAGTGTGTTGCGCTTAGGCCAGGGTTCGATATTCATTTGATCATCAAAGAAGAGTACCGCACCGGTTTTGGGGGAGTGTTCTGAAAGTTCATACGTCTAAATTCTCTCCCCAATTAGAGACTTGTTCATTCCAACTGAGATGAGGCCGGAGCTATTCGGTCAAGTGCGTGCGCGATTGCACGGAATCGCGTAAACAGGTGTACATACACAGGTGACTGTAGAAAACACCCAAAGGCTTCTGGATGTTATGGTGAATAGGCTGGGCATCCAAGGTGTAGCCAAAGTACCACCTTTTCCTCATCCAGGGCCTAACAACTGGACTGTCTTCCTCAACAGGCTGAATGCAGAGCAGAATAGGATAAGAGATTTGATCCAAGCATTGGATCAATTCCTTGCCGACAATCCTTGATGCTTTGAGGAGCCGAATTAAAATACCTAAAAGACTTTTAGTGTGAGACAATGTTTAACTTATTTTGAATGTGTAATTAGTAACATGACTGTTCTTATTCCACTAATGATGAAGATTATTCAAGATATATTATGTAAAAAACATTATTTAAATAACAACAAATAATAATGACAAGTCCGAGTAGAAGTAACAGCCCATCAATCCAATAGTCTATAGTCCGTCAATAAATTCTATCTGAAGGTAAAACGAAGGATTTTGACAAGAAACTCTTTCCCGAACATGAGTCCTGGGACGGAGGTGGCTGCCGACAACAGAAGATTCGGAAACAGGAAGTTAGGCAAGTTTCATCATGGGATACAGAAGATTCTCGTAGTAGAGTATCCACAGGATGACGGCGGGCAAGAAACGAAGGAGGAGAATGAAGGTATATTCTTGTTCATGTATTTTTTATTTATCGTTTTCTTTTTCTTTTTCCTTTCTATTTACACGCTTCTTGAATACGCAGATGTGGGAGAAGATTCAAGTTTGAGATGCGTGACACAACATGCAGAAGATGAAGGTATATGCATTTGTAGTTTCTAACTTATTTGTACATGCACAGAGTTATGTGATGCGCAGAAGATGCTCCTTTATGCCGATCAAGAATCTTAACCTCCTTCTCACAAGCTTTCATGACTTCATTTTGTACATTCTTCCTCGTTTGGCTAGTTTTAGGCCAGCTATTGAATTTTGTTAAAGTTCTACACCAGATATCTCTGAAAGAATTAAACACTATATTAAATCTGAGCTACTCCTCCTATCAGGTTGACTTTTAGGATGGAACCCCATATCTTAACATGGTATCAGAGCCAAATCTTGATCCATGATGTGAGGTCCCTTTATGAAAAATAATGACACGATTATTAAAAAAATTGACAATGACGAATCGATGAAAAAATTAATGACGACACGATCCAGATAAAGTGTTTGGTCATGAGGAGGGGTGTTAAACTCCCACACCGGATATCTCTAAAAGAATTAAACACTATATTAAGATCTGAGCTACTCCTCCTATCAGGTTGACCTTTTAGGATGGAACCCCCGATCTTAACAAATTTCCACTCATTTGAGTCCATTGATTTTTTTTCAATTAGATGCAGCTGGTGATATATATTTTGTATTGCGTCAACAGACCCGCACGAGTAGCTCAGTTGGTTCATTGATGGGAAATTTGGAAAAATGACCAAGGTTCGAAACCCGCAACGACCGTGTGGAGGTTACATCTCCTGGGTGTTGGGCTGGGCCTCTAGTGCTCACGGGTATAAGGCCTACCATCAGTAGGTCGACTTAGTCACCGTGACTTACATCCTCTCAAAAATGTTGTTGGATCGGGACGTGGGGGCCTTGAAGTTGGAAATTCAACGTTTTGGAACCATTGTATTGCGTCCACAGAGTTATGGCAGTCTTTCACTAAAGCAGAAGATGCTCTATTAGGCTGACCGCAACCCGCTAGAGTCAATAAATCAAATTTGCCATCTTTTTATACGTATTCACTCAGTCAATCAGTTTTTCTCTGCAACCCAGCACCGTCAATATATTCACCCAGCACAATTTTTTTTAAAGAAATGTGTAAGTTCTTACTTTCATTACCACACATCAATCATATGGCAAATTATTTTTTACCAATCATTATGATTTAAAAAGTCAAACATTTCGATGTAAAAAACAAAATTTGTAGGTATTAAAATTTGCCCACATGAGCTTAATTTCAAATAGAATGGAGTTTCCAAAGCACCGATTAATTTGAACCGTGCAAAAGTCCTGCTAATTGCTGCTGACTAATGGGACCCGCACTGCTGCAACTGTTGGCTCCCTCCTGTTTTCCAGCGGCCAGTGGAAATGGTAGGTCAATGTACCCACCGAAATTTCTGCTAGGTGGTGCCAAGCACCCACTTTTGCACCCAACAATACATGGGTTGCAATGCTTTTTTGGGGTGAATAGAATGGATTTGGCTTATTCAACAAAGGTTGCAAGCAGCCTTATCTGGAATCTCAACTTTCTCTCAGGCTTTTTGGACTGCAGATGTGACATCCTATTCCTTCTCCTCTGGGTACTCTAGGTCAGCTAGATTGTCACAAATGAATTGATAATCATTTTCCAAACCCATGTTTCGTGCATTAATACGGGCAGGGCACAATCAAGATTCATGTCAGTCAACCAAAAGTATATTTGTGTCTTTGCTGAAAGAGATTGTCTAATTTCATAAACGAATTTCCTCACATTTTAGGCCTTAATTTGTCATTTCCAATCATTAACCAAGCTTCTCCCTTACTGTGAATGGATAAAACTTCTAATAAATCAAACACAAGAAAAAGGTTTTTCATAAATCGAACTGCTCTTGTGCAAGTGAGCTAACTACGAATTTCCAGTCTTTTTTTAAAAACCTGTTAAACTCATGTGTGGAAATATAATTATGAATTTAATTTATTACTTATCATGAGACACTTTTTGAAGAATTGAAGTATTGTATGTTTTCGGCTCACTGATAGATCCCATGTCACCTATGGCCGGTTCCGGGTCGGGCTCCAGGTCTGGGAAATTAAGTCTCGGTACCGGCCCGGGTTAGAATAGGGACCGGGTCGGGCTAAAACTATTCTTTTTGGTCTTTTAGAATGAATTTGAACCCCCACCCCCAAACCCACCCCAAAATGCCCAGCCCCACACACCTAGAACCAGCCCAACCCCCAAAAAATTAATAAAAAAACAAAAAAAATATTTGGGCCCCGAATCGGGCCCAGCTCGGCTAGGCCGGTGCACCTAATTCCAAGCCCGTAGGCCACCTCAATATGCCTCCAAATAGTGTCGGGCCGGGTACCGGGTCAGGCCAACCCGACCTAGTTCACCCCTAATGTCACCCATGTGTGATACATGACCCGTAGAATTTCATTTAAACTAGTATTTCACTCGTGCGATGCGACAATTTTTGTTTTGTTGTATTTGGTTTTTATTTAAGATGCATACTGAAATATTTATGCAGAATATATTTCTTCAAAAAAAAATGAAGTACTTGATTGATATATGACAAATGTTATACTAAATGCATTTATAAATATTCTGGATATTTTACCCCCCCCCCCCCCCCCCCCCCCCCCCAAAAAAAAAAAAACTCTGGATACTAAATGTAATTTCTAATACATAAAATGTAGTACAAAATATCCAAAATATTAAAAATTTCTAATAGTACACTCATTATTTTCATCATGAAATATGCAACATTACTCAGGGAAAATTTTATCTCTTAATGGAAATTGTTGGGCCCAGATAATATTCGTCCAAATGGGCCAACAAGCTGGAATAATTGGCTCATTGAGTAGCCGAAGCCCATCATGCCAGATAAAGTAAAAAAGAAAGAAGTCCAAATGAAGAGGAAGTCCACCCACTAGCTCTTGATAACTTAAAATAGAAGATAAGAACGTGGAAGAAGTCTAAGGCTGAGGAAAAACAGTTGCACGTGGAGAGAAAATAGGAGAAAAGTTGCTAATCTTGGGGAGGAAGTAAATTTCATTCAATAAATATACTAGCTCAACTCTAATATAAAGCACGATCATTTTACAATCACAAAGACATTCATACTATGATTACTATCTATTATTCTGTAAACACAAAGCTCTCTATTTAGATCGCTCATCAATAATATTATTATCCATACTATTCCCCATATTAATTCGTCTATAATTGATCTCAAATTGTTTGATTCCCAACTCAATTTCATTTTAGAATAGTTTAATTCTTGTAAAAACAATTGGCGCCGTCTGTTATCTGTACATTCGGCGTCGTCTGTACATTCTTGCAGATGTACACATCTGTAGACGATAATGATTTACTCGAATTTGTGCACGATCCCAATGAAAAAACTCAAGATATATGTTACAGATTTGAGTTCTTGAATCCATGTTCATGTGCACATGAGCCATAAAGGTGCCAAAGACATGCATAGATAGACCATTGCTAAAGAGAATGACCTTCCCGCCTCCCCGCAGCCCAACTCTTTGTATTGCTTGAAACCAGATATAAAAGCATAGTTGATTTAATAGTGACTCCAGAAGTATAAAAGCCACTCAGCCCTAATAATGTAACTAAGATGTTAACCAATAACCAATGAGGGTCAGTTTCGAATGCATAACCAGCAGATCATTAAGAGTTTGTTAGGTTTGAGAATTTTAGGTCAGGGAGTGTGATACTAACTCTAAAGTTCAACATTTAGGTCGGAAATAAATACATGATCCATCTAATCATATTTCTAACTAATCATATAGATACAACTGGAAAAGTTGAGAAAGACACATTATCATCTTTGACCGGAAAAGTCAAAGATGACTAAATAAAAAGGGATGGAAGTAGTATGAAACTCAACATAAAAGGAGTCAAGGAGACAACGATCCAATCAGACCATCAAATACAAAAGGCACTCTAGATGGTTTTATCAGACATGGACACATGGTAATAGGAATATGGAGCCATAGGTTGATCTTCAACCTCTAAAACTTGATATTGTTAAAACTGACATGATAGGAGGAATGTTAAATAGCACAAAAACGATAAATTAGAAATTAGCAACCCTGTAGAGCCTAAAACCGTTCTCTAAACCTACCCAAATATCTGCTCTCAAGTTTGCAGCTGATTCTTTAATGGACCATAGACTTTTCCTCAGAATTGCTCCCAATTGAATATTCCTAAGAGATCAGTCACAGCCACACAAGTAAAAGAGAATCCCAAAATTACAACTTCAACAAAGCTCCCTGAGAACCATAGCCGTCACAATATTATTCATCGTCTGTCGAGCCACTCACTAAAGTTGCTGGAAAATAGTCACAATATTATTCACCGTCTGTCGAGCCACTCACTAAAGTTTCTGGAAAATACTCCCTGCAAAGTCTGCAACATGAATAAGATGGACAGAGAAAGTTTTAGGGGTGAGGGATTGTTCAAGTGTCCTATTAATTTTTCCAATTGACACCTTATGATTATAATGGTGATGGACATGATGACAGATATGTATTAGGTTTTAGTTATGAATTAGGCAACAAAGCTGCAAAGGTATCTTGGTCTGACTATTTTCCTAGCTAGCTCCAAGAAACACTGCATTCAAAACCAATTTTCCAAGCTCCAAGAAAAAAAATTAATTAAACATACATACTTGGAGAGAATAGAAACATATACGAAGTAACACACAACATAATCATAATTCAACACCAAATATTTGTGTATAGTAGAAATTACAGCATTCTAAATTGAAAAGTTTAGAATCTAGAATGAAAATGTTTACATTGGAAGCTATTGTCATTTATATGTATTTATGCGGAATGTTTCTGTTATGGACAAGTTTTGGGGTCAAACATATCAAAGGCGCAGGATGGGCCAAAGGGGTGATCGGCCCGAAGGAATTCAGTCCAATAAAGCCACTGAAAGTGGCTGACTTTGGGAGCAAGTTTCTTTATTTATTTTATTGCTTTAATTCAGTTTTAGCAAGTTTCCTAAATTCAGTTTTAGCAAGTTTCCTAAATTCAGTTTTAGCAAGTTTCCTAATTCAGTTTTAGCATGTTTACTTTATTCTCTTTAGGGGCTCTTATATGACTTATATATAGGGGTCCTCAGTGGATGTAAGGGGAGGTTTTTCTGGAGAATTAATTATTGTGTCTTGACAAGGTCGGGCACCGAATTAATTCCAATAAAGTCTTTTATTTCCGTTTTCTCTCTGCTCATCATAGATCCAAAAATTCAGTCATCTCTCTACCGGAATTCACTTCCGTTATCTCATTCTAGACCTTGGACGAGATCGTGTACGCGTGCTCTTAACAATTTGGTATCAGCATCAGGCACGATGGGGACCGATTCTACATCAACCGATAATCTGAAAACCTACATGCAAGGAATGGATCAGCGGCAGTTTGACGTGGAGGAACAACTGGCAAATCTGAAAAGTTCTGTCACGGATTTGATTGGCCTTCCCGCTGCTTTCACCGACCTCAGCAAAACTGTCGCCTCCCTCGCTGCTTCGATACAGCAGTTTCTCCATGATGATGGCGATGACTCGGTAATGTCCAACCGGCGCAGGGAGACCAACCACCGGCAGCAGATCATAACTGATTCCATGGTTCCTCGTTTCTCCAAACTGGAATTTCCCCATTATGATGGCAAAACAGATCCATTACCATGGCTTAAACGTTGTGAACGATTTTTTGACCAGCAGAAAGTTGCACCGCATGGCAGGGTTGGCTTAGCGACCTTTCACATGACTGGCACAGCACAGCTCTGGGCAGATCAATTGGATCTTACGGTCTCAGACCTGACATGGACTGAGTTCTTTAATAAATGTTCCAAGCGCTTTGGGCCACCAAGCAGTGCTAATCCGGAGGGTGATCTGGCCAACCTTAAACAAACAACAGACTTGGAATCATACATTGAGGCGTTTCAACAATTACTTGCTCGTACCGCCGGAGTATCCATCCGCATGCAAGTCAGAATCTTCACTGCTGGTCTCCAAGAGGCAGTGCGCATGGAAGTTGAATACCAAGCTCCGATTGATCTTGACTCTGCCATGATGATTGCCCGTAGCGTTGACCGCAAGTTACGTCTATCCTTGGAGATGTTAGCCCCAGCAACACGAAACAATTCAGGAGCTCGGTATGGGGGAGCGTCATCAGTAGGGCTGGAGCACCCTTCCCCACCTGAAACTGCCCCAGTTCGGCGCAACTATAATCCCACCTTCAAAAAAATTTCACGGGCTGAAGCTGCAATCCGCCGGGAAAAGGGATTGTGTTACAATTGTGATGACCAGTGGGTGCGCGGTCATCGTTGTAAGCGCTTATTCTTTGTGGAGATTGTTGAAGATGACCAGCTCGAGTCAGAGATTCCTACTAGTGAACCCTCGTTATCATTGCTGGCCATGACCGGGTTCGGATCCTCCTCTACTATGCAGTTACGTGCCAGCTTACTGGACCGACCAATTACAATTTTGGTTGACTCGGGAAGCACTCACAATTTTATACACCAGCGCTTGATCTCCTCCGTCTCTCCACCATCACCACTTGAGTCTCGCTTACATGTTCTCGTTGCCAATGGCGATCGTGTCCCTATCCTCGGGTCTTGTCCGCATTTGACTTTTCATGTCAATGGACAAGAATTTGTGGCTGATTTCTATGTGTTACCCCTTGCCGGATTTGATATGATTCTTGGCGTTCATTGGCTCCGGGGTTTGGGTTCCATTCTTTGGGATTTCGCTCATCTTTCCATGAGGTTCAACTGGCAAGGACGTGCAGTTGAGTGGCATGGACAAGAAGCAGCCCCAAAATTGCAGGTGCACTTGATGACAAACTCTCAGAATGCAGACAACACTCTCAATGGCTTACTGTCCCATTATATGGATTTGTTCTCTCTTCCATCAGGCTTACCTCCTAAGCGCACCTGTGATCACCACATAACTCTTCATCCGGGAGCCGGACCGGTAGTTGTCAGGCCTTATCGCTACCCTTATTTCCAGAAAGATGAGATCGAACGCCAATGCTCTGAGATGCTTGAGCAAGGAATAATTCAGCCAAGCCACTCACCCTTCTCATCCCCTGTGTTGCTAGTAAAAAAAACCGATGCCTCTTGGCGCTTTTGCATTGATTACAGAGAGCTCAACTCTAAAACTGTGAAAGATAAATTTCCCATCCCAGTCATTGATGAACTGTTAGATGAACTACACGGGGCGAAATTCTTCACCAAATTGGACCTCCGCTCCGGGTATCACCAAATTCGCATGGCTCCTGAAGATATTCATAAAACAGCTTTTCGAACTCATCATGGTCACTTTGAATTTTTGGTAATGCCATTTGGTCTGACAAATGCACCATCCACATTCCAAAGTCTGATGAATGATATTTTCAGACCATATTTACGTAAGTTCGTTTTGGTTTTTTTCGATGACATCTTAGTTTATAGCAAATCTTGGGTTGAACATGTTCACCATGTTCGTCTCGTCCTAGATGTGCTACGTCATAATGGCTTATTTCTTAAACAATCCAAGTGCAGCTTCGGCACTGTCCAGGTTCATTACCTAGGTCATGTTATCCATAGCGGAGGGGTTGAAGTTGATAAAACTAAGATTCAGGCAGTAATGGATTGGCCCACTCCTAGCTCAATCACAGCCTTGCGCGGGTTCTTAGGCCTTGCTGGTTACTACCGCAAATTTATCCAAAGATACGGAGAGATTGCAGGGCCCTTGACACAACTGTTGAAGAAGAACTCCTTTGTTTGGACAGAAATTGCAGCAGAAGCCTTCCACCAGTTAAAACTTTGCCTCTCAACAGCGCCGGTGCTACAATTGCCGAATTTTCAGCAAGACTTTGAGGTTGAGTGTGATGCGTCAGGTACTGGTTTTGGTGCGGTGTTGCAGCAGGATGGACATCCCATCGCTTACTTCAGCAGAAAGATAGCAGATCGCCACATTAAACTCCCAGCCTATGAACGGGAACTCATTGGGTTGGCTAAAGCAGTCACACATTGGCGTCCTTATCTGTGGGGCCGTGCATTTGTCATCCGAACGGATCATTCCAGCCTCAAACATTTATTGGATCAGCGCATTACCACTTCCCCACAGCAACACTGGTTGAGCAAATTGATGGGGTTCACCTTTCGCGTAGAATACAAGCCCGGCCGACTTAATGTTGCAGCTGATGCACTATCCCGCCGCGATGAAGGAGATATTTCTTTGGCAGCTCTGACAATTCCATTCAATTCCTTACTAAGCGCAATCCGGGCTGAACAGACGGGCTCCCCCGTGATTTCTGAAATTCGATCCCAAATCACAGCTGGTAACCACACAAACGATTGGACATTGATCGACGGGCTAGTTTATTTCAAGTCTAAACTATACCTACTGGATTCATTCGACATTATCTCGACCCTCCTTTCAGTTTTCCATGGCATGGCCCATGAAGGAGTGGAAAAGACATTGCAGCGTCTCCGACGGGAGTTTTACTGGCCTGGCATGAAATCCACCGTGGCAGCTTTTATTCAGAATTGTCAGACATGTCAGCAACACAAATGGTTGAACTTGCAGCCGGCAGGGCTCCTTCAACCGCTCCCGATTCCACAACATATCTGGGCAGATATATCGATGGATTTTGTAGAAGGGCTGCCCAAGGTTAGAGGAAAGACAGTAATATTGGTGGTTGTTGATCGTCTTTCTAAAGCAGCACACTTCCTGCCATTAGCACACCCATTCACTGCCATTTCTGTTGCAGGGGTTTTTTTTGCGGAAATATTCCGCCTACATGGACTGCCAGAATCCATAGTCTCTGACCGTGATAAAATATTTGTGAGTTCTTTTTGGAAAGAACTATTTCGGTTGGCTGGAACTAAATTAGCATTTTCGTCTGCCTATCATCCTCAAACCGATGGGCAAACCGAGGTAGTAAATCGCACATTGGGAATGTTTTTGCGATGTCTCACCAGTGACTATCCAAAAGAATGGGTTCGTTGGCTCCCATGGGTTGAATATTGCTATAACACCTCTTATCATACTTCGCTGGGTGATACACCCTTTCGCCTTGTTTATGGTCGGGATCCACCTAAACTTATCTCATATATTCCTGGGACAGCGAGATTAGAGGGTGTGGAACAGGCGCTTCTTAGCCGAGATCAACTCTTAGCTAAGGCTAGAGAACGACTAGCTCAAGCACAACAGCATATGAAGCTGCAGTACGATAAAACTCACCGCGATCTGTCCTTCGAGGTAGGAGATTGGGTCTGGCTACGCATTCATCCTCATAGACAACTCTCCCTAAGTCGTGGTAACCATAAATTACTTCCAAAGTTCCATGGACCATTTCAAGTTCAGTCACGAGTTGGACAAGCAGCATACAAATTGCAATTACCACCTGAGAGCCGCATTCACGATGTGTTCCATGTCTCTCTTTTAAAGCCACACAAGGGAAATCCACCAGCAACCATGGGGACTCTACCATTGCTAGTTAACCCACCTGAAGAGAGTAAGCCGCATGCTATTATCCGCAACCGTCTGAATCTTGGCTGCTTAGAATTCCTGGTCCAATGGCAGGGAAAATCACTTGAAGAAGCCTCCTGGGAACCTGCAGATACATTTCGGGCTTCATATCCAGATTTTGAGCTTGAGGACAAGCTCCTAGTCGACGAGGGGAGTGATGTTATGGACAAGTTTTGGGGTCAAACATATCAAAGGCGCAGGATGGGCCAAAGGGGTGATCGGCCCGAAGGAATTCAGTCCAATAAAGCCACTGAAAGTGGCTGACTTTGGGAGCAAGTTTCTTTATTTATTTTATTGCTTTAATTCAGTTTTAGCAAGTTTCCTAAATTCAGTTTTAGCAAGTTTCCTAAATTCAGTTTTAGCAAGTTTCCTAATTCAGTTTTAGCATGTTTACTTTATTCTCTTTAGGGGCTCTTATATGACTTATATATAGGGGTCCTCAGTGGATGTAAGGGGAGGTTTTTCTGGAGAATTAATTATTGTGTCTTGACAAGGTCGGGCACCGAATTAATTCCAATAAAGTCTTTTATTTCCGTTTTCTCTCTGCTCATCATAGATCCAAAAATTCAGTCATCTCTCTACCGGAATTCACTTCCGTTATCTCATTCTAGACCTTGGACGAGATCGTGTACGCGTGCTCTTAACAGTTTCTTATCCTAAACTAATTGAATTTCAAATGCGTAGGATCATTTAATATTATCCTTGATGTGTGTTTACGAATAGACAAAATTAACATGTGAACCAAAAAAAGGAGTATGATTGGACTCAATTCTGATTCCGAAATGGATCGAAGCGGAACCAACAAAAAATAAAGAGATGAACCATAGCCAACAGACCAACCTAATCCAAGAACGATTCCACTTCCTCCAAAAGGTGACCAAACTGACTTTGACTTTGATTTTAAAAACAGGATAATCAGGCTGATTAAAGACTCAAGGGCAAGCAGGTCAATAAGAGCTGACACAAACAGAGTCTTATTCAAAAATATCGGTTCAAAAGGGCCAAGCAAATAGTAACTTATTGCTTGAAACTGGCTCCAAAACTACCAAGGAATAGGAAACTTATTGCTTGAAAGAAAAAAAGTGTGTCAGAAATTATGAGACTAACCTCCTCAAGCAGGCTATTCATTGTCTTTCCATCATAATTTAAGAAATTAACATCCTCCTATGGTAGCTCAGAGTCATGGAGCAGATGAAGTATCTGTTCCATTACAATGCACACCTGATGAAACAGAGAAGATTGCATCAGCATTTCATCACATATACTGTCACATATACTGCAGTATCGTTCTAGATTGCATAAATATTGATAAATCAGTAATTAGAAACAGAGCAGATTGCACATTTCCTTTTTTCTTCGAATCCAGTTTAGTGTAAGTACTCTAATCCAGTGATGTGTCAAGCGCATTATTATTTTTCAACTAAACAGTACATAGTATCTATTCTAATACCAATAGTCAAAGAGAAAAGATGAAGTAAAAAGTATTCATCCGCTAAATTTGTGATAGTGTAGGATTTGGCTTTGAGATAATGTAGGATTGTCTTTGTTGCTAATAAAAGTATTCTTCTGCTAAAAGATGAAATTATAAGGTCAAGCACCTTTATAACTTTATAAGCACCTTGGTCTTCTTGTGAAAAAATCAAGCGTATAGGAAAATATTTTTAATATTCTATAATTCGCCAAAGTGCCGAACACATAGTATCTTTACATACGGGTCAAAACCACTCGAATTCCTTCTACAACCTGGTGATCTCAAGTTAAGCTCAAAACACTTATAGCTAAACCTTTTGAATTCTGATCACTTTCTCAATACAAAGCAGCAAAAAAACTACTCTCATATTCAAGATTCTTCCATATAGAGAGATTGTATAGAGCAAAAAACAGAGGTGAATATTTATATTTTTCTCTTTGGACCTGATTGTGGTTCAAAATTGTACCGCAAAAAGAACAGAAAAAAACTAAGAAATAGAAGTGAATTTGATTCTCTTCTTACAATTTCTAAGTTGAAAATAGCAGATAGTTTCAATTACTTAAATCTATATGCATGGAGTAGTGCAATGACATATTAGAAGCCAAGAACATCAATTGAATTAGGTTACTTGGCTAATTTGGTAACCTAATTTAAGAGAAGATATAGGAGCCAAAAATGTTTCACTGAGATTTTGAGAATAAATAGTTTATTTCAATCATACCTTTAAGAAGAAGAGACTGAGATGTTTTCCCAACGCAAAAGTGTGTGTGTATATGCACAAAGGAGCGGCTAAGCTGTTCTTTCAACAATGTTGGTGTGCGGCTGAAGAAGAAGAGAAGAACACCATCCGGCCTGATAGTCTTATAGAGATCGAGCGAAATTAGAGAAGGAGAATGCTCAGCAGCGAGAGTGACACAAATGTTATAGCCTGAAGTTACGAAAAATCGTCTTCTGCCGCCGTTGAGGTTGGCCGGTGCGGGCAAACTGGTTTGAGCTTGAAGCAGAAGAATACGATAGTTTTGAATCCATTTGAGAGGTAGAAGGAAATAAATAAAATGGACAGAAATAGGAGACTTGGAAGAAATCTAAGTTGCGGCCAAGGCCCAGTGGACTCCAGAAGAAGAACTCAATCTCCCACGGAAGCAGAAGAATCATCTCAGTGGCAGTTGAATTGGAGCAAGCGTCCGTATAAAGAAGAGGAGAGAAATTGGGGGTAGGCTAGTGAAGAAATGGGAGCAAGCGCGATTAATTTTATTTTAGTGAGTAAAATTATGTAATTAGACATGAGCATTTGAGCGGGAGAAACCTTCTCTCTCCTATGTAGTATCTTTAAGTATATAAAGATAAAGATAAAGATCGGCAGTGACCTCTTCAATGAGTCCCTTCAGCAAATGCTTCTCAACATCCTTTGTCACCTCACCCTTTTCTAGGAAGGCAAACATGGTCCCATCGTCCCATCCAAAATCCCATATACAATTTATGTCAGGCTCTGTGTTTTGCATGTCTTTCGAAGCATGTTATCGAAGTACTGCGTTGACACAATCTTCACAGCCACTCCGGTCAAAGCTGGTAGCTTCTCAAAGTCCTTGCACAGTTGCCTGATCAGATCATCTAAAGATCTAATCATTACGTAACTGATAATGGGTATTCTGGCGTGGGGAAAGGCAGAGAGTTCTTGTCTCCTCGCTTTCTTTTCACTACCTCATAGGCACAGTCTACTGTAAGCATACGATCTGTCCCTTCATTGATATGATCATTTGCATAAAACACACTCACTGGTAAGTTCAGATTGAGGAGCGCTTCTGCAGTGCTAAGGAATAAGTGGCTTATGATAAATGATATCTTGAGATTCTTTTCTGGCTCCGTCAATGGCTCTTTCTGTTGTTTGGGATTTGGCTTGCACGTTTCTGATTCAGTTGGCGGGTTTTCTGTAACATTCAAACTGTTAATTACTAATTACACAGTTAAATAAGAACAAAGGGGGCATTTTTCTACTTAAGACAAATGTACAAGAACGTAAAATTATGGTAGGCGCAGTTTTAGTAACTTGATCCTGGCAAAGTTCTTGCTCTCCGCAGCATCACATAATCTAAGAGTCATGTTCTTCCACACCCCATTTTCACTTGGCATAAATAAGCTTCATGTTTGACATAGACACTTTTCATGTAAACTTACCTTCTGGTGATTTTGCAATTTTTTTGATAGCTGATGTCTAGATTTTGTCCTGCATCCTGGTGACTACTCTTGTGTAATTCCATTGCATCTTTCTGATACCAGAAAAAGTCAAAAAGTAAAACCCCAATCTCATATTGATTAGCACAATGCTAAATGTTACGGAGTATATAATTTATGAAAGAAATTGAAAATTTATGAAAACTGAACATGTAATGTCAAAACTTTTGATTTACAATGCACTATTTCTTGTCCACCTTTGTTAAGAACCTGCGTTAATGATCTCATCCAGGGACGAGAGTGTTTCTGTAATTCAGAGGGAAGGTAATTGACTGGGAAGGAATCAATGATTTCTGAAGAATTGAAATCTTAAGTAGGAATTAAATTGATGTCCGAACCTAGTCAAGACACACAAAACTAATTCTTCCAAAAGGTACTTTATTGATAATAATAATGACCCTTATATAAGAGTCCTAATAATTACGGAGATGTCTAAAACTGAAATAGGAATACTAGAATAATTAGGCAGTTGCCTAAAACTGAAATAGGAATAATAGTATAATTAGGAAGTTGCCTAAAACTGAAATAGAAATAATAGTAATAACTAATTAATAGTTTTCTTTCAGCCACTTCGTTTTCCAGTATCTTTGGGCCCACTGTCTGGGTATGAATCTGCAACGTTTTGGGCTCGTACTAGGCCCTGTCACCTGCTGTATTGTTTGCCCCAGAATGCATCCGTAACAACCTTCTTCTTTGTCAAACTCAGAGATATTTTTTTCTTTCAACTCAATTGAATGTTCTTCACTCAATTTGCCTTTTACATAAGAGGTGCTATCCACATTGCATTTCACCTGTTTCTTCACCTTCAAAATTGGTGACTGTTGTTTCAGTGTGCTTTTGGATGTGTCTTTCATGTAGATTTGAATCCGACTTTCTTTCATCTTAATGGCTATCTCTTTGATAGGCTTCTCTTGTGCTGTATGTTTAGCAAAAGGAGGCTCTGTCGAGGCATGTTTGGCCCGGTTCAGTAAACGCTCCTCCCTCTTTGGAATACTTTTTTATTTAATTTGTACTACTCCCTCCGTATTTCAAAGATCTCTACAATAAGGTTGGGCACAACATTTAAGGGTGAAATAATAGGGATAATGAATAGTGTAGAAAAAGTAGGAGAGGTGTAAAAGTATGAAAGAGAAGATAAAAAGTAGGAAAAGTAAGGGTAATTGAGTATTTTTAAAGGAAAAAACTTACCAAATTGGAACGTGTAGCAAACTTTAAAATACGGAAGGAGTATTATTATTCCTTACAGATTGTGGAAGTCTGTCCTTGATATGACTTAGCGTTGGTTTGTGAATATCCAGTTTTCGCTTCACTGTGATAGCCTCTTTTTCTGCTGTTTTCTTATCTCTGTGATGTATATTGTTATACCTCCTGTGCTTAGTCATTTCTGGTGACAAGTTTTCAACAGCTTTCTGATCACTGTTTTGATGAGGTGGCTTATCATTCTTCTTGGAGGCGAGTGTCTTGAGCCCTTTAGAACTTTATTTCGGGGAAACAAATCCAGTCCCATGAGTTTCGCAACGACATTTGATATTCTCCCCTTTTCTGTTCCACATGTTGATGAACTTTCGCGCTACATATTTGCAGAGACACCCTTAAAATATGTTAAGGCCAAAAGTTTATGTGCACTACCTGTGGTCGCTTTCTTCATGTATGATTTTATGGATGTCTTATCATCAAATGAAAACTTAGGAAGGTCTTGATGCTTCTGATCAGCTGTTTTCACATTATTAGTTACGTCTTCAAGTAACATCTGATTCGCTATTTGCAATTACGTCAAAGTCTTTTAATAAGATTGATTTCAATTCAAGCTCCTCAAGCGACACATTAATAAATTCTAGTATTCCAATATCTTTTGCACTCCTGGAATCATCTTTTTATAATTTTCAGGGCTCATAACATACTCCTATAGACAAAGAAGAACTTTCAAGAAGCATGCCTGTTTCTGGAAATCCTCCTCAACTCTGTATCTAAGTGGGCCCACATGAACTCAGCTGTTTTTTGCTAAATCAACCTCAATAATTTCTGATTCAAATTTATGGGTTCCTGATAGCGTAGTAGATCGGAGTTGCAGAAGGTGCTTGCCTTTGGGCAAGTCTTTCACTGAGAAAAAGTTTGAAAGAGGGATTGGGGAGACAGATTCAATTTTCATTGGGTCAGTAGCCGAGTTCACTTCCACTTGAATAAGTTCTTTCATTCTCTGCCCCTCAACATGGCAGCTTAAAATTGTCATTTCTGGCTCTTCAAATACAACAAAATCTAATCGCCTAAAATCTTCACAACCGGCCTATAATCGAGCAAGCACAAATGCACAACCAATAAACTGTTAAAAGATGAATACTTGAAAACTGTCCTACAAAATCAGCAAGATGTTTAAAAATCCCTTTGTATATATAAACCGTCAAAAATATACCTAGGTTTGGCAGGAAATATATTAGCATGCTTAGGTACACAAATTACACTCAGAGGATATGTTGGTCTACCACTGTACAACAACATCCAAGCCTTAGTCCCAAAGGATATTGCCCGTCCCAAAAGCCTTGGTCTACTACTGTACCAAGGCTGCAAATTAAACTAATTGCAAATTAAAGATAGTAAAATCTATCTTTATTGAACTAATTGCAAATTAATTCAGGTAGTTATATCAGGAACAGGAGATATGCATAAAATATGGGTGTACAGAGGGCAAGCTTTCCCTTATCAATGTGACAAGAGGCTGCCACCTCGCGGTCACACAGTTACATCGTAGCCGGTGCCCAAAGCTCTCCTTCTCTCCTGTTTATAGCTAAGACTAATCAATACTACTTTCCGCTTATGCCACATATTTCTAGACTTGATAAGGAGAATGAGTGAATGACACATATTATAACGGATTATAATGATTGAAGCATTATGATTGAAGCATTACATTGCATATACCAACTCGTTCCAAAAAATGGGACAAAGGTGCAAAATCCAACCTTAACGGTCACAGATTCTGGAGATGCGCGCTCCATAAGATGGTTACCAAATTCAACTTTCCTTGAAACTCTGATTTCATAAGTAGTATCAGGCAAAAGCACCCTTAAGCGATAATTTCCTGTTGAGTCAGTCACGGTTTCCTCATAAATGCCTTCTGAATCCGCTCGAGCTCATATTGAAACACCCTCTTTTAGCTGACCAGACAAGACACTGACAACTCCCATGGCACTGGTAAGGTTTGAGCACATAAAAATATAGAAAATAAAAAGACTCGCACATAACCATAACGCATGCATGTATTAGTGCAAACTTATCATCCGCAGGACAAAAGACTGTAATCCAGTATGAATAGATAAATCTCGGATCTGGCATGGGTATATAAATGCAAGGCAAAGAGATATGTGTGCTCTATTGCAACAAGTGGTGTGCCATGTGGGGCTGTGGCATTCTTTTTTGTGCGTTATGCCTAATGGAATCAAGTTGATGTTGTATGCCTCACAATTTAACGCAGCATTGGCACACTATCTAACTCGAAGTAGGGTACGGAGAGAGTGAAATGTAAAGACAATACCTCTACCCCTGGGAGCTGAGTGGTTGTTTCTGTTAAGACCCAGACCCAAGCAAGAAGTGGAACATAACATTAATGCTAGAAAGCCAGTGAAATTTGGCAAGCCACATGACATCCTACATTATTTCGCATTCTAACCGCAAACTCTAAGCTCATTTGAAGCAGGTTTTGCTCATTTTACATCGCTTTATGATTATTCGGAACCATGCGTACATACTTGATAGTTAATTTATACTTGCTTTGTGCTTACTTTGTTGCAACTGTTTGACTTTCACACTTGTCAAGGAATGATTTTGACCATGAATATACATAATTGGGTATTAGTAAAAAAAAGTATTCAAATTGCACAGAAAGTGTTTCAAGCACAAAAATTATTCAAAAATCATTCATATGGAACAAAATAATTCAAATTGCAACCCGTTTGTTACGTTTCCTAAACAAGCACAGAAAGTGTTTCTTTTTCAAATTGCAATTCTAATATTCAATAGAGTAATTAAATGAAACTGCAAATCTGTAAATTGTGAGATATATCTAGAGGAACAATCACATTGAGAACCAAAGAAATCTAGAGGAACATTACCAATAAAGGGTGTAGATGAGAGAAAGAACAAAATATTAGCATGTCCACCATTCAGAAAAGACTAATATCTCTGGGGGGGCCTAAATTGAAGAGGATGAGTACCAGGGGAGGCGTTTACGCCCTCTTTCCACATCTTTATGGTCTTATCAGCCTCGCAAGTAATCAGCCTTGAACCAGTGACATCATATGCCATTGCATAGATGCCAGCCTCGCTTTCCAATGACCCGGGTTGAACAACTGTCTGTGATTGCTGGAAATTGTGGCCACTTCTCCAATCCCAGAACCACAAGCTCCCATTATCGCCTCCTGTAGCCATTACACCTTCCTCGTTGACAGCCATGGCGTTGATAATTGCTTTCTGCTGGGAAAGCATGTTGTGCAGAAACTTTCCTTGTGGAAGGTTGAACTTTTTGATGTTGTCAGCAGAGGCAGACACAAAAGCATCCTCCTTTGGGTGCAATGCCATTGCTCGGACAGATTTCTTGTGGTGTGTGAGTGTTGACATGGCCTTGCCATTCCTGAGGTCCCAGAATTTCACAGCTGAATCATGTGAGCCAGTAATGACTTGAGGGTCCAATGGCCGAGCAAGAACGGAGCAAACTGTGTTCTCATGCCCTGACAAAGCATGAACTTGAGTCTTTTTCCTGATATCCCAAACCCTGCACACAGAATCACGACCCCCAGTAAGCAGGACATCAAGGGTGGGGTGTAGAGCCAAGCAATAGACACCGCTTAAATGACCATGATAAGACCGAATCACCTTGTTCTGTTCTAGATCCCAGCACTTGACTTGTTTGTCATCACCAGAAGAGAACATGTAGGTCTGTTTGCTGCTGACCGCTAGGCCTCTTATTTGTTCAAGATGACCGGTAAGGGTGAGTTTCAGAGTCCCGGTTGCTAAATCCCAAATCTTGATTGTTCGATCTGCTGAGCCTGTGCAGAACCATGTATTGCTGGGGTCCACTACAACGCACCGCAACGAACCCAAGTGCCCGCTGATGACCCTGTACTTCTTCCAGGGCGCAAGCCACTCACTTGCTATTCTTTCCATGGTTGCAGAAGTTGTTTTGGAAGAAGGGTCTGTTGCGGATCGTGTTGCAGAAGTTGATACGCAATATGTATATTTACTTTCCGTTTATGTAAATCTTGTGCTCCGTATTTATACTACTTTCCAGCCTAGAGATTCTCATACGCCTTTTGTTTAACTTCTTTCCTAATATACTCACTATCCTGATAGATAACAAATTTTAACTGCCACCGATTAACTTTCAAAAAAAAAATGATAAGGGTCAGGCCTCGAATTTACAGAAAAAAAATGTCAAATAAAGTCATATATAGGATACTCTGTACGGCCGATGCCATTTGGGGTGGTTCCCTGTGAAATTTTTGATGAATTTTTGATGAATTTTTTTGAGAATCTTATTCATTAAGTCTAGTTTACTCATATCAAATTTGAACTAAAAATTCAATCGGGAAGGAATTCAATTGAATTCTTGAAAATAACTGTGTAGTTAAAAGCGCAGTTATCTTCAAGAATTTTTATTTGAATGTCTTCCCAATTGAATTTTTAGTTCAACCCATGTAAATTCGACTATGCCTTTACATTCAAAAAATACACACGTAAAAGTAAATAGTTTCAACTTTGGGGGTGTTTGGTTAGTAGCCTATTAGTCATTTTTGGCTGATTTGACTACTATTTGGCTTTTTGACCAGATATATAAACAGTTAATTGAAGTGTTTGGCTAGTCGGTTTTTGGGTTGGCTTTTTATCCAGAACAACCAAAATAGAAAAAACTAAAGAAACCAGCGTTTTGATGCCGGGCGATTAAAAAATTATCCAATATTCCTAGAATAGGTCTTACCCGTAATGCCTTTTTTTTTGTTCTCGTCTTCCACATCCTACGCCTAAAAGAAAACTCAGCCCTGAAGTTCTTCCAAGTTCATGGTCACTTCTCTCACAACAAACTATCTGGGAGGAGGGTCGCATATGGCGGAGAGCGACGTAATTGTTGGGAAATATTGCTTTAAGCAATTCGTATGAAAGCTGGAGGAAAACTCTTCAAGTTTGGCCGGGTGGACTTATTCAGGAGGAAGAATTGATAAGAAATTCAATCAAAATCATACAATATGCAGTATAAGACCTAAATCAAGTTAATTCATAACTAAATAATACTCCGTACTCCGTAATAATTTAAGCCACAAACACAGTAATTCTCTCACGCATAATGGTTGAAAGGTCATCTCAAATAAAACTTATAGTGTGTATGTAATACGTATATAAAAGTGGCTCGTAGATAAAATAAATTAATTGATATCCTTAAAGGTCATTTAACAAGTTATCAGCCGATTGCGAATAACTATTTAACCAAACATCGTTCTATCAACAGCTGATTCTATCCGTTAATCAAAACAGCCAACAGAATCCGTTGTCACCAATTAGGATGTTTTTACTTGGACTGTAATTTGCCCCAGACCAGACCAGACCAGTCCAGACCAGACCAGACCAGTTCAGACCAGACCAGACCAGACCAGACTTGGATAGTTATAAAAATACAAAGAAACCAGACCTTACCAGACCAGACCAGACCAGTTCAGACCAGACCAGACCAGATCAGACCAGACCAGACTAGACCAGCAAATTACAGTCCAAGTAAAAACATCCTTAGCCAACAGAGTCGGCCAACAGCCAACAACCGGTTGCCAAACACGCCATTTAGATATTTGGAGAAGCAAGGTAACATTTAATAACCTCTAATCTAACATTTAATAACCTCTAATCTTCGTCCGAACCCCCTTTAGATATTTTCTTGCTTATCAGATTTATCAGTCATTTTTTTTACCAAACACGTAACTTTTGATTTTGAGAGCTTAATTATGTAATAATAAGAAAAAGTAAGATCGAAGTTACTTTTCAGGGGGAAATGTCAAATATAATAAGCCCAAAGGATTGTTCATGATTTTACTTTTCGAGTGCATAAGTGGAATCATTTCACTTTGTAAAACACATTTTAAACATTACTTGGTTGTCTTTTACTTGTTCATGATTGTTTAAAGTGTTGATGAAACATTGACTTTACTCGAGTACGAGTAAAGAAACTAAGCATGGGGGAGTTGATAGAGTTGTATTTTTATTATGTATTATTTCTATTTTAACTAGTTTTATTTGTTGTTGTTTGAAAAATTACACACTTTTGCTGTAATTAGTTAATTTTCTTAGATAGATGTAATTTGTTTAGATTAGGATTATTCTGAGCTTAAAACAGGTCAAGATCATCCAAAGGATTAAGTTTGGACCCCAAAAGATCAAGGAAAGTGCAAGGGGACAAGATAAAAAGAAGATTGAAAAAATATTTCATATACCCGGTCGGGTATAGGCAATACTCAATCGGGTATTGAGTTGATTCGGGTGTCAAAATCAGAATCTGGAGAGACAAAAGAACGTGCAGGATTTTGACTTTTTGGCTCATACCCGACCGGGTATGCCTACATACCCGACCGGGTATGTCTAGAAAAGTGATTTTCCGGAAGACTGCCTAAAATACCCGATCGGGGTACCCTATATACCCGATCGGGTACACAACCCTGCCACCTCCAAACACCTATAAATACACCCCTTTTCCTTCACAATAAAAGAATCCCTTCTTCCATACTCTTAAGCTCAGTTTAAAATAGTATTTCTTTTATATTTGTATATCATGTTTAGTCTCCAAATGAGGAGCTAAACTTCCGTTTCTTGGTGTTGCTCTTGAAGCTTGTTGATTATTAAAGTTGTGAGTTATTTTCTTAACTTCTTTCCTTGAATATTAATTATTCTCTTGATATATCTATATATTAATGTTTGGGAGTGTTGCTAAGATGACAATTAGTTAACATCTCGACATTAGTTATAGTGGTATTTATTTTCTTCCTCTATATATTAATGTTGGGGAGTGTTGCTAAGATGACAATTAGATAACATCTTGGCATTAGTTATAGTAGGATTATTCATATTTAATCTTCGTCCTTGAATATTAATTCTTCCCTTAATTTATCTCTATTTTATTGTTGGAGAGTGTTGCTAAGATGACAATTAGTTAACATCTCAACAGTAACTACTACTAGAAACGTTCAACGAACTGATGGTTAATCGTTGATGGTTTCACAAGTAAGTAACTTCGGTTTATTAATGCACGGTCGTGGTTAATAAACCTAAGAGGGATTAATGTTGTTGGTTAAACCGAAACCGTTGTGTCGAGGTTATCAATCTCAATTGATTTCATCAAGGAATTAAAAGATTAAATGCTACTATCAAGTCGGTATATGGCGGTGTTCTATACTTGACTAATAGTAAGGGTTATTAATGAATGGTCGTTGTTAATAACTACCCTCGATGAATTGGATATACTCCTCGATTGAGTATTTGAGAGGGGATAAATTATAGATATAACAATGATCGACTAAAATATATCAACAAGTGGAAAGTAGCAATGTCAAGTCCTTTTTATCTTTGAATTAAATCACATATAAGTTGTTCATCTTCGTGTTTAATTTTAATTAAATCTTTCAATCCCAAAACCCCCCTTTTATTTACTAGTTTTATAAAAAGAGAATTATTTCATTTCCCTGTGGATACGAACTCTACTTCACTATACTACGTATTAGTGCTAGTATTGAATTTATTTTGACGCACCGTGACAAAGTGCACGTCACTCAAACTCAAGTCGAGTTCTGCGCGAGCTCAATTTGATGCAGATACCATTTTGATGCAGATAACTTGCCATTTAAAGAAATAAAACTTGTTGGCATGGAGAACTCGACTTTAGTTTTTCAGGAGCTATCCACTGGCAACTAGCTAGCAGCTTTGCCTCAATTACACCCCTACTCCCGCCAAGCACACCGAGAAGCTTGTGTACAGGTTGTGCTAATTATGCGAGGATTTTCAAATAACTGCTTCCCTCCTCAGACATTTTCTTAAAACTTCGGATTCGCCCCTCAACTTCCCAGCTTCTCCGAGAACCTTACGAAGCGGTCTCTGAAAACTTTCTGTCTATGCAAACTATTTGCAATTGCCACTGATACCGAGAACAAGATGTGTAGAAGTAGCATGCGAGAGGTTATGCAGAATGATCCTTCTAGTGCATTCGTGAGCGTCCGTTTTGTTCTATGCGGTTTTGATCCCATTAAGAAAGAGCAGGTACATAGTCTTTAAAATAACCTACTATTTTCAAACGGGACACCGGGACGGGACATGATATTATATAGCTATCACGGTCCTGTCCCGATTAATATCCGTGCGGGATCGGTTCGGGTTGAAAAAATTGCATTCTAAATGGATTGGGATAGTTTCGGAACGGTATCAGGATTTTTCGGTTTGGGACACCGGGACCGGAATTTTTGACCACCCCTACTCCTAACCCGCTTTTCCTTATTCAATATGTGTAAGTGTGTAACCTCACAATTTTGCCTTTAAAGGTACTCTACAAAAATATGATTTCGATAACTTTCAATGTCTATTATTATTTTCAAATCTTGCGTTGTAATGATCATAAATTTGTACTCACAGTAACTTTAGTCACATTATTATCTATAAATTTTACTTTAGTTATGTTGGTAGAAAATAACCCAGGTAGAGAATTCGACAGCATTTTCAGTATCGTGAGAATAGCCTCCCCGAATACAAAGGGTTTGTGGCCTATTTATAGGCGTATACAACATGCCCACCAATTAGATGTTACATGGGCTTGTCCCGATTTATCAACTAATACTAACGCTAAAGGGCCAGTCAACCCGATAAGTAATTCGATAATCCCGAACCAGTATCTGCTAGCAGGACTGTGTTCTAAGCTTCGTCGGGCCAAAGCTCAGGTGTAATGGGCCAATATTATTGGGCCCGGCCCATTACCCCAACAAGTTTTAGAGTTACTACAATATAATAGTTGAATACAAATATGGTAACTAAAGTTATTAGTCACATTTTTCTACTCATTTTATTTTGGTTATATACTTAGAATTATTTCTTCTTTAATTATATTTGAGTTCTATTTTACGAGTCAATGGAACTTATAGTGTAATATCTGCAGAGGCGGACCCAGAAAATTCAT